TAAAAAACATATTAAATTCATATTAAAATTTTACATATTCCACCTGCTTACAATAAATTTGCAAGGCAAAAATGCTCTTGTATGACGTATGAATCGTTAGGGGTGACAGACTATCATACACAACGCGTATGCGAGAGCTGTTCACCAAAATTTTGGTGAGCACGCCAACACGTTGGTAAAGGTGGCAGACTATCATACCTGTGTGTCATACGACGTTTTTCTCTCTCGTATGACATACCAGTATGATAGTCTGCACCCTGCTTAAGAGCTTGGCCTGAAGTTATTAATTTAAGAATGTGCTTATGTCTCCATATTTGTTAAAAATAGAGTAGATTATATGAGAGTTCTCAATGCGCTGTCACGCATACATATACGGATACCGAGATCTTTATGGAAATCCTTCGCATAGATGTATAAAACCGCTTTCGAGACTCTTTTGAGTGGATACAGAATTTGTTTAATATGTATGTGGTTTTTCTAGCATAACTTTTTTTTATGGAGAGTAGACCCAAGCACAGACAACATAATATATTGATGTTTAACGCCGACTATAAAATCATCAACTATTTTAAAATTTCAGAACATAGCTTTCATTCCATCAAGGTTTAGCTTACTAACTATTTGAATCATAATTTATTTAAAAAGTTCATTTGTTGTGATTTATTTTCTCAGTACATATGCATTTTTTTGTTTTGCAGGATTTATTTATATATGGAACAACTTCATGTTCTAATACGCTTTTTACTTAAATGTGTGTGTTCTGCGATTAAAAGTAAACCTGTGAATAACAGTAGGTTGTTGTAGATTGGACAGGAATAAAAGTGTCAACTTTCAAAATTTGAGTGGACATATATTGTTCAACACCAATGTTTAACGTCTATATATATATAAGATATACTCCTGGGTGTATGCTCTGGAATTTATATGTTATTTATATGTAATTTTGGTATGTGTTAATTAAGAAGAAATCTGGAGTGAATGAAATAAACACAAACGTAAATAAAAAAGCAAATAATTTATTTAAGATCCATCTAAAATTGCCTATAAGTTTTTAAGGTAGAATAAAGCTGAGCAAACTATCTTTTTACCTTACATTTTTTAATTGATTTGAATAAAATATAGAGTCGCATAGTTTTCTATAATATGTTTTGTTATGAGAACTTAACTATTATTTAAATTATAAAATTAAAACTTACAAATGAGGAACAGATTTATTTAACTTTTTAGATAATAGATCTTTTTAAGTATTTAGTAATTTATTTTATAAAGCAATTTGTTTTGCAATTTAAAATATAATATATATATACTTTAATGAATATGTATATCAAGTTTTTTCAACTTGCATGAGTATATTACGTATCTTTGCATTGTGATCAGTGGTAAATTATCGCATACACCTAAATGATGAAGTAGAATTTGTGTTATGGTCAGGTATTTCTATTTATGATAATTAAGTACTTAATTACGAAACTTACTGCACACAGCGCACTTGCACACTTAAAGATACCTTTTTATATTATGAATTTATGCAATAGTCATAAATTGTACACAAACTAAGTAACTTCAAAATATTTACTGAACAAAAAAATCTGAAGTTCACCACGTGCAAAAATTACAGCACAAGCGTTTACGAACTGCGATATCATGCATATATCGGCTGAAATCTACTATGTAATATAGATGATGAATAATATATATTCATATGTATCACACATTGATATTGTGAATAGTTGGTGACATTTTGGCATTATCTATGTTGACATTGAAATGGATTAAATCGATCCATACTATGAAACGTGTACTAAGATAAACTATATTGCAGTTCTTCCATGCACTTCCCATGAGAGTTAAGAGAATTTTCAAAATATTTACTACTTTATTTACTATTCACTGATAAAAATATTATAGTAAAAACTATACATTTATCTAAGTACTTAAGACTAGTTTAGATAATTGTGTGTTTTTTACAATGTTATTTACTATTTACTATTTCACAGTGTGAGCGAAATGATTTCTCTAGTATTTAGTGTATGAAGTACTGTTTTGCTTAAATGAGATTTTAACTCGAAAAAACAAACAGACAGATAGCCTTTAAATACTTAAAACAATGTTGAGGTAATACTAATACATTTTACTGTTGTTTTATTGTTTAGATCACTTCATTAATATATTTTTGACCCTGTCAGTGACAATACTCGTGCACCTGTCCATGCGTATGGCTATAAATTCACTTGATTCGAAAGTGATTTTCAATTTGAAATTACTTCAAATTGCCATTGTCAATCATAAAATTAGCTCGTGCTTGCCGTCATTATTTCAATGATACTTGTTCATTTCAAAGCATGCGATTATTTATTTGTGAAAAAATCCATATATTAAGTATAGTAGAATTATACTCTACTTGGTTGACGAAAATTAACTAAACTAGCATTTATTTTACTGATTTTTTAATTTGGCATTTTTACGATGCTATCAATTTCGTACCAGTTAAAATTAAATTAATTTAAATTTTAAAATTTCTGGTTATTAATGTTATTCTGTGAAAAACAATACAGTATTGTGTTAGTTAATGACGCGAATGTTGTTATCGGTGCGTATATGATACATAATATATATAAGATCAATAAATATTTTATTCCCTTAAAAATCCATCTTTTTCAAAATTTTCTTTAGTACTTAAGCTTTAGTGTAATACATAATATATATAAGATCTAATTTTTTTTATCCCCTTAAAAATGAATTTTTTTCAAAATTTTCTTCAGTAATTAATCTTTAGTCTATTTTCTATTTCTAATATGTTAGTTTTGTATAAGTAAATATATTTTAACTAATGTGGAATCATCATTACTCTATAAATAACCTTTATTTCTTAATTTCGCTTTATGATCCGTTTAAATATACTATTATTCAGTTTTCGTATAAAGCGGTCATGTCATCTAAAATTTTTTTGCTTTAAAAATACTGAAAACAGTTTCATTGTCAACTTTTTAGTGAATTTTTAAGGTTTATATTTATAATCTTATTCTTTATAGTCTAGAACCTAAATATCAAAACTCTGCAATCAAGCATTAGAAATTGGTGTCATCTTTAACTACAGGAGTCCAAACTGTTCAAACGTTGTGAACAGAGCCTATGCGTAGGATGGATACTCCGCAAAAGTATTTTAAAAATTGGCTTACCAGTATTATATATTTCAAACTTATATACATATCTAAAAAACTGCTTTAAATTAACAGAATGATATTATTTTTTCTTAATATATCATTTTGAAAATAATTTTATCGAATGGTTAATATATTCGGTTCTCCGAATCGTTAATGCGGCACCTGTATAAGTAGTAGGTTCTTTAGCTGCGATAATGACATATTTAGTTGCCTATAATATAGTGTTTTTCTAACTTAATAGTGAAAATAACAAATATTTAATAAAAGCTTGTATTTCAGTTAGTGTGTCTAGCTTTTTGGAGCAAAATAATTTATACTTATAATAATTATAATTATGACTGTAATAATTATAATTGTAATAATAATTGTAATAATTATAATTATTTATAATTACATTTCTCATATTTTTATAAATAATTACTACTCGACCCGTCTGATATCATGCAGTTGATTTAAGTGGCATTTGAAGCATATATAATAAGCACTTACTATTTGATGTAGCTTTATATGCTTAGTATCATCTAGTTGATTTATGTGATCACACTTGAAGCACACTTTTATTTTATTTAAATAATTTTCATTCAAGTAAAGCAAGATTTACAACAAATTTAAGTCATCTTTAAATCAGCAACTTTACTGACTTAATTCACCTTTAAGTCAGTATTGAGATTTAAGATACGACTGTAAAATCGGTAGTTTATTTTTTTTGTCATGTGTTAGAAATTTCGATGTCGTGACGTAGAACATTTTCCGTGAAAACAATCCAAAATTTGAAAAAAAAAAAAATAACAGAACCATTATAGCATACAAACCTATTTAAAAACAAACAACAAGAGATTAGCCATCGAAATAAAATATATTATATATTCTAAAAATACTGAAAAAACGATTTAAGCTCTTTGGATGATGTATTTTTAGAGATGTTTTATGAGGTTTTTATGAATAAATGTTTTTTTTCGGGTAGAGTTTTCTTCGACACTTTGTATCTCGGGAATCTTTCTATATAATTTTTCGTTTTCTAAACCCAGGAATCTCTTATGTTTTTATGTCATTTTGTTAAAAAACAATTTGTGAATTACATTTTTGTTATATCGAATTTACAAAATTATGAATTATTATTAAGATACTTTTTTACTTAATGAAATATTTTTTTATTGAATGTATTAGTTGAATTTTTTAAAAAACTTCACGAAATTCAAAAAAAAAAGTACACATATAGCAAGTTCTTAATGTTTAGAATTAAAATAATTTATTAAAATATTTTTAAATCTTAAATTTTTTAAAATAATAAAACCAATTTGCATATAACTGAATACATAAACATAACTGAATACTTAATGTATCTTCTTCCCAAAATAGACTAGACAATAGTAATTAACATAAACAAGTAATTATTGAAATAGTTAAAATTTGATTAAATCAATATAATCACCTCTCTGGTATTAGATCTTAACTTAAGATCGCTATTGTGTCGCATAAGTCATATTATGTATGAGAAACAATGTATATATTATTAAAGTTTAAGGTATAGCAAAGATGCTTAGACAAGTTTAATTTCTTTAGATAAATTTGCCTTTACTTCACAAGGTCGTCTATCACGCGGACTAAAAACATGTTTTTGTATAAATTCGTAGACAATATAAATAAAATCAAAAGATTCAAAAAAAAATTTATATATTTTTAGATCTGCTTAAAATTATTTCATAGAGAAAATAACAAACGTGACAATCACATTTTGAAAAATATTTCAACTTATAATTTATGGCATAAAATTTTATAATTTTATTTAGTTCATCATTAAGATTCGAACATTAAAAAAGAAAAGATTCGGTACTGCAGCATCGTGTCTTCTCAGTGTGTTACGATTAAGCATAAGTGCAATCATCCAATGTACTTAATTTAGAAAGTGAAAATGTGTAATTATTTCTAATTATTTTTCATACATTTATAACAAAGAAATTATAAAAAAAAAATTTATTTTAAAATGGGATCTATACACATTTCTATACACATTTATCGGCATCTTATTGGTGTGATTAAAAATGACAACGAATAAAATGAACAATAAAATGAAAGGTATAATAAAAACCCGTTTTGATGATCTGGCAAATACCCTATCTCAACTCAAATAAATGGAGAATAAACAAAAAATTTGGTGAAAGTTGATTTAGGTAATGATTACTATGAGCACCAATAGCAAATGGATATATCTTCATGAACCACTTGATACCACTCGACTCTCATCCCAATGTTTCCATTCATAACATCTTTATTTTCAATGTGACAAAATAGGTCGATCCAAAGAGTCCCAGTGCGGATAATGGTATAAATGAAATTAGCTTAACGTTAAATTTTCATACATGCTAGCTACAGCACAGGTGCCTTACATTTGCCAACGCTGTATTTGACAGTAGTAATTTTTTAAGAAATAATGTTATATGATTCGATCAAAAAATACGTAAAGAATAGAACCCTGAAATTATTTAGAAAAACTGACAGGCTTACCAATACCGCGTTATCAGATCTGAGGTTAGTTATTGCTTAGTCTAATGAAGTGATAAACAATAATCCAGTCAAGACGTAGAGAGGGGTTAAGAAGAAAAAAGTGCTTAAGTGTATGGACTCAACTAACCTCAATATAATAATAATAAATCTATGTTAGTAATTGTGTCTACTTTTAACGTAAAGTTTTAATATAAAATAAATTTGTTGTTAATTTTTTTTGAATTGCATTATATATATTTTTGAAAATTTAACCGGTTTAATATATTAGATATTTAATTCTTTATACATTTTGTACTTTTGATGCAATAAATAAATAAATAGCTTTTAAATAAGATGCCTATTATGGTGATAAATGCTGAAAGAGTAAAAGTTTAGAATTAAAGGAGATTTTGGAACGTCTCTCATAATTATATTCTGTATTGTTAGTAATATCCTTAAAATATTAAGTGCTCAACATTCTGTGAAATTAAAGAATGTTTCAGCAAAAAAGCTTCAAAAACTTCTTGCGAAAAATTTGTTGACATTCTACATGATGCTTACTACAAATATACGTATAGGTCTTGTTCTATCCGGTAGTGCTAGGGAGCAATAAGTTTATGTGTGACTTATTGTCGGCCAGATTACTTACTTACATAATACAAGGACGAGTTAACTGAAATTTTATATTATTTTATATTATATATTAAGTATATAATATTATTAAATATATTATTTTTTCATATATTACTTCTAAAATTTATTTAATTAACTAGTAATTTTGATAATTGAAAGTAGAATTGATTTGAAATCTTTTATTGAAAGTAGATTTCAGACTCATTCAAAATTAATGCATTCGAAAGAAAAATCATCAAACTTAGTAGTAAATAATTTTTCTAATATTAACAATTTAAAATTTAAATGGGCATGCCACAGTTTTGAAATAAAAGGCTCTCATCTGCAGTTTTTAACTTAAAAGTGTATATAGGTATGACTTCGTTGCTCTTAATAAAAAATAGGAATATTTAATTAATATTTAATTTTTTTTTAATTTTTATTTCGTTTTTAATTTTTATTTCGTTTTTAATTTTGTTTTATTAAAATATGTTTATTTTTTTCTAATATTTTTTTTCTAATTTAATTTTATTTAAAAATTTTTATTGATGTTTTTTTTTTAATTTATATTTTTTGTAATTTTTAATTGCGCGTGTGTGACTGATTTCATAAAGTTAATTTTTTTTAATTTATTTCAATTTATTTTAATTTCTTGGCAAAATAAACAATTTTTTTAGAGCAAAATTAAAATGCGTAAGAATCATAAACTATGTTCGCTAAATTTTTTTGTTTCTTGATGTTTTGAAATATTTTCAAATAAAAAATGAAAAAATATAAAAAGTTTATTCATTTATTAGTTTATTTATACATTATTCGGCGACATTTTTTGTGGCAATTAACTAACATATATTTCTCTTTTTATTTGCGACATTAAAAATTGTCAGTTGTATTAATAATACTTTGTTTACACTCAATGAATCTAAAGTTTATCTATATTTATATATATATATCTATTATCATGAATCTGTATATATTATATATCTCACTAAAAAGTAAAAAAACGACATATTATTGACAATACCACGAAATGGTATTTCAAGTGACAATATTATTTATCATCCGCTAAAAATTCGTTTGACTTATATTATTTTGATGTATTATAAACTATTCATTTCTATATATAATACTTTTAGCCAGAATATATAATTAATACAAATTACTCTCCGAATTCTAAAAGTATAACTAAAACACAAAAAATGGGTGATTTAGGATCACAACTTACTTATGACATATCTTATGCCATAATAAACTAAGTGAAAGAATATTACTTAAATGTAGGAGAATGTAGGTATAAGATGGTGCAAAGAAATCCATTTTCAATATTAGCTGACAAACATTCTATCAAGGAAAAGTATGTCTACAAAATCTACAGTCCAAAAGTTTTGGAAAATAACTTTTTGAAATACACTAAGCCTAAAAATCAGATGTAATAAAAGGTAAATTCTTTAGCAAAATTTTCCAAAGATAATACATATAATTTTCAAAATATTGAATTTGAATCAACTTATTTCCTATTTCCTAATTTTTTCAACCTATTTTAAAACTAAAACATATTTGGCGATAATTTAAAGGGCTAAAAACTGTTATATTGCTATTTGGATAACATGTCCAAATATCTTTAACATCCTCTTTCTCAGTTATCTAGTATATTATAGTACGATATACTTGAACCTTTTAGTATTAGAACAATGTTGGCGAATCTTTTTTGAAGCTCGTGTCAAATAGTAGAATCATTTCATTGTCGAACTTTTTGTGTGCCCGGAATGTTATAAATGAAATTAATCTTAAGTGAACTTTTGAAGTGTACTTTTTTTGGCATATGTACCAATAGTTTACCATTGCTATATTGAAAAGTAGAAGGTTAAAAAAATGCTTATGATAGCATTTAAAAATCTCATTTAAGTGGTACAATATAAAGCATATGACGCACATATATATTTTAAATAAATTTGATCAATATTCAAAAATACGTGCGTTATATTCCAAATGTAATGTATTTCGATAAGTTTTGATATATATATAAAAAATCTGGTGTATGTGTAAATTTTTTTAAAGCTGTATTATATAATACAACTTTATGCATGAATATGAAGCAAGAGTTGAATCTTGAGAAAGTGTCATGATTTTATAGATTTTAAATCTTAACACCAGTCATCAGTGTATTCTGTGTGTGTCTTATGTAGAGGACTATACGCTATTATAAATCTATTTTTCTATAAATACCTTCAAAATAAGGAAAATATTATGAAATCTATATTCTTCTCGTATAAATATATTATACATTATGGAGAGGCTTCGAAAAGTAGTAAACTACTATAAAAATTCTTTTTAAATTATTTTAATTAATTGGTTTTTTGGTTGACAATAAGCTGTTTTGATTATTGTCAAATACCCATCATCAGTTGTCTTGAAATTATATCTTGTTTTTATTTATTCCTAAATAATTTTTTGAGACTGCAAGTATCAAGGTTGAAATCGTACCCTGCCAAATTTGAAGCTCAGAGTCAGCGTTCATTAGCCAACTGACCCAAAGCCGTATTTAATTTGTATGTTTGTACTTTAAATTTTTGTTAATTTGCTGTAAAAATTCATTAACATATTTAGGTTAATTTAAATTTCTAAGTTTTTTAATAATTGGGTACTTCCAAACAAATTACATACTATTTCAGTTTAAGGTTGCATATAGTGCATGTTTTGGTGGCTTTCACGAAACGTAGCACAGATATAAAACCGGTAACAGTCTATGACTTTTAAAAACTCGAACAGTTTGTTTTTGTATCATATGGATCATAAAAGTAATTTTTTTTATAATTTAATTAACGTACGCATCCTGAGTAGTATTAGTATTATTTGCCCTCTATAAAATTTCTCTGCTGGTGAATTTATGCCACAGTTTTCTGTCAATTTTTTGTTTGGTTATTGTGGGTTGTTTTAAACTAAATGTGACTAAATTTAAATGCTCAAACAACCAATTTTTTAAAAATAATAGTCATTTTTTTTGAATCCGATTATCTGGCAACTTTATTACCCGGTTGTCATAAATAAAATTAAGTTTTGATGTTAGAGTATAAACCCAGTTTCTCTATGAACCATATGTTATAGTTTGACGTATTTTTTAGCAGACGAAAAGTTCTCTATATAGAATGTTTCTAATTTTTTACTGCCTCATATCTTTCAACATCTCATACTTGCGCCGCATAATTTTGAACTGATTTAATCGCTGTTTTAAAATATTTGTATTTTACAGACAAAAATATTTTTTAATTTTTTAGATCTATCTTCCACATAGTACAATTAATAGCTAATTTGACATCCTTCAACTTGTCACGTAAGTGGGTTTCAAAGTTCGTCTTATATTTTGTATTTATTTCTAGATATTCAGAATATATCACGCCTTCTAGTTGTTCATTATTTAAAAACCATTTTTTTCGTATTTATTTAACTGTCTGGCGAACCTGTACTTCTTGACAATCATAAATTTTGATTTATTAGTGCTTATGGCTTGTTCCTACAAATCGCAATATTCTTTTAATTTATTGTATATTGCAATACTTTTGGTAAATCTACAAACAAAACAATATCAGCATATATCATATAGTAAAATATTAATGGGACATATTAGCATTCTTAATTCCATCACGAAAAAATTTGCTTAAGTTATCCATTAACAAAGCAAACAACAGAAGGCTTAACAAACAAACTAGCTTTAACAGGGTAACCATTTGAAACCATCTTGAGATATATCTTCTATAACAAACTATTTAAAGTATAGACTTCGCTGTATTTTCGTCATTTTTGTGGAGAGACACAGCTGACTGGG